AAAAAAATTATGGTAAAGACAAGCATTAAATTAATCTGTTTTATTTCTCATAAAATGAAACACATATAGTGTTTCATTTATTATGAGAGATATGTTTTTCCAGTGCTATTTGGGATAAAGCCAATACATCATTCCTAAACGTCACTAAAAATTAGTTTAACAATGTTGCTCGAGATATAACTTTACATAACATAAGAGAGAATTCAGGACACTTTTAACTTTAAATATAAAGGTAAGCACAAAAATAAACAATGTTCTATTAGGTTGCTCCAAGAGGCTCTAGCTGAGGCAATTTGCTGATTTCAGACTCTGTAAATGACCCAGATTTTGAAAAAGAAAATGGAGCAATTTATAACAACAGGGTTCATCATTTGAAGCCTTACATCAATAATCCCTGAATGGGCTTTACTAACTGCTAAATATGACAGGGTGGATTTATAGCTGTCCTTTTGACATGCACCCGGGTCAACTTGACATTCTGTTACAAAACCTGATGAAACGATCACTGGATTTATCAAAGTTTACAAGGTACATTTCAAAGATTGTAGACAGTCATGCAAATATAATATAATTAATAAATTTTTGCCAGACTAATATGGTAAAGTTAATCTCGATAGCACAAACAATGTTTAAGAACAACAAACTGTGAACGATGGCTTTACATGTTACCTAAGCAGATTTAACCAGCATGAACCAGACCTCGTTTTGACAGCTAGTCAAAAGTCTAAGCAGCCTACCTCTTAATTAATATAAATTGTGTATTTTAATAAATATGAATGATATTTTGCCATTCAAATTGACTTGTTCAAAATTATTTGCACTCCCGTGCGAATACAAATGTAGGCCTACGCACTGAAGTACACGGAAAGTGTTACAAACTTGCACGTTTGGTCAGACGTAAGTATGTCTGGTTTACCTTATTTATCAGTTAAAAGAGAATATAACTTTTCCGAAGATATCAGCTCTGTAAAATATAATTCACCGATTCCTAACTGACGTATTTACAACTCAGAACTCACCTAGTCTCCCACACTCCTGCTTCCCGTAAACTCTTTCCGTGAATCAGTTCAGCGAATCCATTTTAATGAATCGATTAAGAAACTGATTCAGTGATTCATTTGCGTCATCGGCTAAAAAATATTCCCGGAAGTCAATTTGTGTAATTTTCATGTATTATTTTAATTGAAATGTGTGTACGGTAAGTGAATATCGTTGGTTATTGCATTTGTAGCTACATATAAATACAATAATAATAATAAACAAACTTCCTTTTGTTCATTTTTAAACCACTCAAGCAAACATAGCATACACGCGCGCGCACACACACACACATACAAAAAAGACTAGAGAAAGAAAGAAAGAAAGAAAAAGCAATGCTGAGCTAAAGTTTTTCTTGCTTCAGTCAATGCCTTAAAGGAGTGGACACGAAAATCGCGAGAGCGAAACACATGTTGCGGGAGCAGGCGCAATTGTCAGCGATTCAGCGGGAGCGGGATTAAGAAAACGGCCGAATCCCGGACATTTTGGGCAAATAAGAAATCCCGGTGTAGGACGCATTTTTTGTAGGTCCAAAAAGAGGACATGTCCGGGGGAAAGGGGACGCATGGTCACCCTACCTTCTGTCACTCATGTTGTCAGAAATCACTGGCTTTTCACTGTAAATAGCCTACAGTACCAACGTTCCTTTAGGAGGTATCATAATCCCAGAATGCATTGTGATGAAAAAGTCCTTATCAGATGGCCTAAACTAGGGTGACCATACGTGCCATTTTCCCCGGAAGCGTCCTGGCCAGGATTTGTATATTGCTTTGATTCAAAGTACCTCGACAGCGTTTCGAAAACACAAGGAACCGATGTCATACACCGATCGGTCTGCACACGCAAACAAAGCCAAACCCTAGATATTTTAGGCAATATAGAAATCCTGGCCAGGACGCGTCCTGGGAAAATGGCACGTGTGGTCAACCTAGCCTAAACGTGTAGTTAAAAATAGTTCAGTCTAACTAAAATCTTGTTTTATTTATAGCCTATCAGTGTGTAATATTGAAATCAGTTGTGAGCTGAGTTTCCTGTGCATTTGAGTCATTTATAGAATGTGCCAAATGTCAGATAGATTCACTTAGGCAGTAGACACTATGCAGCAATGCACTGATGAATTCTTCACAAAAAGACCATAAACATGTGTTAAGAAAGCACACGGGCAACATGAACTCAGTATTGACCCCATATCACACCTTCTGTGGCCTCCATCTCTAGAAAGAAAACCTACAGCTGGGGTGCTAGAGTTGGTGAACAGAGGACTTATTTTCACAGAGCAGTTCCAATAAAGCTCACATCATAATATGTTTATTAGGGTTTCTGCTGCATTTCCTGTTTGATTTACTGTGCAGTCCCAGGGGCTGATGGGTAATTGTTGCATACTCCCACTATGAAGCAAAACCTGCTATTATTGTGTCAACCTGTTGAGTCTTCATTTATTCTGCAGGTAAAATATTGAGTTGAGTATTCTCAAAGCATGGCTATGATCAGAAAAGCATGCTAAAATACTACTCTTTCTGCAGTATGTATACTGTATATATGCTAAATTCCTGCATGTGAATGCCAAGAAGTCATCCACCATTTTTACACTCTAAAAAATGCTGGGTTATATTTAACCCAGCATTTTTTAGAGTGTAACATCTGTTATTGTGGACTACCTAATATAAAGTTGTGAAACCTAATAAAAGAGGACATGGCAGTTTTTGAATTGGGTTGAATATTTATGTGTTCTTTTTTCAATTGAAAGTTTTAGTAATTTTGTTTTTGTAATTTTTTTTCATTTTTAATAATGTCTATAGTTTTCATGAACTCTTAGTTTTTAGTTTATTGAGTTGTTTTAGTACTTCAACTTGAACTAAATGAAAATGAGAAACATTACCATGGCAACTAGCTGAAATAAGTATATATATATATATATTATTTCAGTTAATGTTGATTTTATTTTAAATATATTTAAAAAATAATTTGAGTTAATTATAATAACCCCGGGACATAATAGCTTTTGTTTCAAAGATTTATAGATTTGTTTCTGTTAAGATTACTATAGATTTCAATGTAAATTTTGAGCAGAACATTAGGTGGTTTTTTAGGGATTGTTGGTAACAACTTTGTAGTATATATAGTATATTAAAGGGGTCATATGATGCAATTTCAAGTTTTCCTTTCTCTTTGGAGTGTTACAAGCTGATTGTGCATAGATAAGATCCCTGAAGTTGCAAAGACTAAAGTCTCAAATCCAAAGAGATATTCTTTATCAAAGTTAA